GTAATCTGATTTTCTGACTGCTTTTGATTTTATTGTAGGCACAGTGTACTAGAAGATGAGCTGTTGCTGCATTATTATGAATATATGTTGCCTTCTCTTTCTGTATGTTTCTGTATGATTGTCTCATACCGTTAGATAGTTTAACAAAGACTATCAGATAAGAAAGCTAGATAAAGTAGAAACTAAAGGCAATTAAAAATGCATTTGCTGCATAAAGTGAGAACTGTGCCTAGCCAGAATGCAGAAGCGTGCCTTCTACCTTAATCAGTTTCACAGAAAGAAAAATGAAGCTTTTTGGTGGAAATGTCACTTGTCCAGAGGAAGGATGAATAAACCAAAGCACAGTCTGACAGTTTTAACCCTGAATTTCCTAATACAAGACCAATCAGTTCGTTCTCAAACACTGTGTTAGACTTCTGCCTATCACCTGGATCCTGGAATAACTTCAAGACAGTGCAGCCGCTGCTTGCGGATGGGAAATAGGAAAGTCATCGTGTATGTTGAAAACAGTCCAGACGTTTGAACTTGCAGCTTTTATGACCTTTTACAGACTTCTTATGGGAACACAAATACGCTGTCAGTTTGGTTTGGACCTGATCAGGACTGGAATTCGGGGGTGGAGAGAAGGAAGGAAAAATGCAATTATACCTCTTGATTTGATGTTAAACCAGTGACATTTTAAAGGCAACTGGGCTGGCAGTTGCCAGCCTGTTGTTATGAGCTACTCTGAGGCAGAAGCTCCACAGTGAAGGTCACTGTGCTGGAAGCAGAGATGTGAACATTTTAGCATCTCTCTCTTTTGCTTTTTTGTTTGTTTGTTTACATCCAATATTCGCTTCTGCCCCTCACCTATTTTCTAAAGATAATACAGTCTTCAGAAGCCAGTCAGCATGCCGTCAGCGTATTCAGGTTCCTGGGGAGGCACCCTGAGCCCCAGAGTTTGCTTGAACACTGCCTGGGAGCTGGAGCAGCAGCACTGCCTGCTCCACCACGGGAGCGGAGGGCCAGGACTGCCCTCCGTGTTTACAGGAGTCATTTGCAAAAGCATTTCTTTTCTATCAGTAGGAGAAAACTGGCCCCTGTGACTATGCAAGCGTGTCAGTCTAATGAGAAAAATGAGAAAAAAAAAAACAACCTGACAAATATCTAAGAATAGTGTGCTGAACAGGACTTACTTCTGCCAGAGGATTTAGGGCAGAGACGAAGGTTGTTTAAATATGGTAGAAATACTGTGACATATCAGGTATGTTACAGCTCTTTTACACCAACACAAAGTAAATGTCTCATCACATATGCTTTGTATGTGTAAAATTGGATATTTTTGCAGCTTTCTCCTTTTCAAAGGTGACCTGCACTGTTTTAATTTCTGAATGGATTAACTCTAAACAGCAGGGTATGAATTAAAGGCTTCTCAAGCAGCCATTAGAAAATTTCGGTTATTCAAATAATGGAGTTGCTAGTCATTTAAAAAAATTACAGGGAGAAATGTTCTTAAATGTCATCAGTTACATAGTGCTGGAATAGCTTGTGGGATTTCATGAGTTGCTATAAAACATGGTCCAGTAACAGCAAAAGCAGTCTCCCATTACCAGTCCCGTAAGTGCCGGTGTCTGCTTAAAGCACCGGATACTCGTCTGCTGTTAATTGCCATCACCTCCTGAGGTCAGCAATGCTCTTGCATTTCATATCAAAGGAGGATTCGGGCTAACAATGAGAATGGGACTGAGAAACGACAAAGATGACTGTCCCTTCAGGAGGAATTCTGCTGGTTTCGTCCAATGGTCCCTCCAGACTTCTTCTGGCTTCCCTGGAAAGATGCTCAAGAGCCAGGAAGGGGACTTTAGAGCTTCTCCCTGCCACCATCTCCTAGGGGATGGCTTAGCGATGAAGTCATGTGGGTAAAGTGACAGAGAGTCCTGTTGCCAGAACAAATGCTCCTGTGTTTTGGCTTATCCTACAGCAGAGAGAATCTTCTCTACTAAAATCTGACTTGGAAGTTGAAAGCTGTGGAAATGCCATAGGATTTCTCCATACAAACAACCAATTTCAGTTTGCCTGTGTGTAAAACATCGTTACGTATCTGCCACACAGCTTAATGTAATATCTAAGTGACAGTTACAGTTTACAGCAAAAAATTACAGTGATCAACAAAACACAGCCGTTACTTTAAGCACCTGAACATTTTCCCTGATTTCACTGAGAATCTTTGGTGTGGAGGATGCTGCAGGATCAGTACCTGCAAAGGGAACTTCTCCCTGTGATATTCCTGCCATTCATCACCTGTTCGGGGTACAAGTGCAGGCTGGTGATAGCTTCTGCGCTGTGGAAGTCCCTTTTGCTGACAGGATTGAATCAATAAATGACTTCAAATGTTGTTATGATCCTAAGAGCAAAATGATTTGCGCAGAGTACTTGCTAGTCAGTGTAGAGCACAATAGTCCCCCATTATAATTTTAGTAGAAGAGGAGAACATAAAAAGTGTCTTGTTATTACTCTAACTTAAGACTGTGAAAAACACACTTGTGTTCCTAATTCCTTACTTTAATTGAATACAAAGATATCAGCACTTCAGTGCTCAGCTGCTACATATAAAATCAAATTTGGTGGGTAGTAAATACAGTAGAACTGAAGGTTTAATGTTATAAATTGAGGGGCACTTAAGCTAAAACTGTCTTCACTTCAGCAACACTATTACTACAATAACAACCTTAGATTTATTAAAATAGAACTAAGTTTAAATGCATTTGCCTTTTCTTTTTATTTTTATTACTTATTTTTTATATCTAAGAAACAAAACTCACTTAACATGAACTGGGTATTTTTACATTCCAAGCCTTTATAAATTTTCACAATGCTGCAATTTCAGAAGAAATTCTTAAACATCAATTTTAATTAAAACTTAAGTAAAAGTTTTTCATATATGATTTTTCACTAGTAATTTGATATAAAAATTTCTTCTGTTTTGATTCTGTTTCTCCATTAGGAGTTTTCTAATCAATCCTGCTGCAGAGGGCACAAAGTAGTGGAATTGCCTCACTAGCAGAGGACCCATTCTTGGGATTCGACTGAATGACTTCTGCTGCTGAGCGGAGCAGCTGCTGGATTTACTCCCTCAGGTATGTCTGTCCTGATTGCCTTTCCCCGCCTTCCTGCGGCCGGGTAGGTGCGGCGCTGCGCCGGGACTCTGGCAAGGTGGTAATAAAACTCACTGGCTTAAGGCCATATGTGAAAAGAAATAATGATGCTTACTTACTGCATGAAGCACACTGAGCTTTTGGGTGGAAAAGCAAAGCATAAGTGATTATTAGACTATTTGATTGAATAGTGTTTAATAGTTACTACAATAAAAGCTTTTATGATTGGTGGGGCCTGACTCCACCTGCCCGGGAGACCAGGCTCTGCCTGCTGGCAGGATTCAGGCTGGCAGGATTTAGGCTCCCAGTAAAGACTATGGGAGAAAGGCAAGGAGTTGCTCTTCAGGCAAAGGATTACCAAAGGACTGTTGCAGGATTTAAATCGTGATATGATTAGTAGGAATGGCTGAAAATGCTCTGAAGAAAAAAAATTCCAACAAGAAATATTGATTTGATGCAGTTTCGGTATTCTTCAGGATCCCGTAAATTTTACTGAAACTTCCTGGTGGAAACCATACAATGGGTTTTCCGAGCAGGAGGCAGCAGCTGGCAGGGCCCAACCACTTAAGCCTCCAGCAGTCAGTTTGGCCAGACAGGGAGTTACTGGGAAGCTACACAGTAGCACCCATTTAGAAATTGCTCTGACTTAGTTATTGAAAAAGTGAATGTTTATAAATAATTTGTTCCATAGTAATCTTCATGTATCCAGCTTTGCATTCTGGTACAGAATGAAACCATTAAAAATATAAAGGAAATTTTCTGCGGATCATAAAACACACTTCCCATGCCATCCCAGTGATTAAATGAAGTTGTGGCTGAATAAAATGCTGAGTTTTAATGGAATTTCAGGAAAAAAAAAAAGGCAAAGGTTTTAGAAAGGCACCTCAAATTTATTAAAGTACAGCTCCCTTGCATTACTTACTGCAAAAATCAAACTCTGCTTGTGACTGTAACTCACTGTAATGACTTCACTGACGTGACTGTGGAGCACATCTATTTTTTAATTGGGACATTTGCCTGAGAAACAGCTGATCCACAGAAACATTTGCTTTTTATGATACTGTATTCTAAATCAATGGGGGTGTGGGGGTGTGTGTGTGTCCCTTGATGTATTTTAACAAGGAATAAACTCAGTGAGTTTGGAAGCCCGACAGCAACTGAGCAATGAGCTCTGGGCGCGCTCCCCGAGAGGAGCCGCGGCGGCGACCGGTTTATCGCTCTTCAGTCACGTACTTCATCCTTGCGTCTGGAGGGACTCTGGGATGTTGCGGGAAGCGGGAGACACGTGTCAGGAGCGCCGGCGAGACCGATTTGCCCGGCGAACCCCCGCGGCGGCGGGGCGGC